TATAGCCAATAATCCATTTTGTACTTTTCCCTCCCCTCACTTTCCTCAACAGCTTCTCGGTAGCATTCTGGCTCATTGCATCTGTCAAACAAACATACTTCATTAGCGAGGAATACCTTTGTAGATGGATATGATTTTCTGGTAGACCTTCTGACTGGAGGCCTCTTGTTGTCCCTCAAGTGTCTCATACTGTCATCAGTTTGCTCATCTAATAGGAGATATCAACCTCATCTAGGCCTCTTCCAGTATTATCCTGGAAGATCAACCTTGATTTTCTACATCAACTGAGGAGGTGTTGAAGCTGAGGAACTGGAAATCTACATCAACCAAGCTGTTATTTTTGAGGTTTGAATGGTTTGTCTCCACGCTTTGCCAGATCTTCAATAGTTTTGATTTTCAATTAAAGACCACAATCACGGCTTCTATAACTTTCTTCTCGATAGGAATCCATAACACTATAGCCAACTCTTTCCTTTGACCGTAGCCAATGGAAGAGTAGCACTTGTCTGTCTTGGCAATCTAGCTTTGGACCTTTTCATCCTTTGGAACATGAAAAAAATTTGCACCCAAATACCCGTAATGATCATATGAAAGGCTTTCTTACCCATACCAAAAACCATCAGGGAACTCATATATTCAAAGGAACGGTAAAGGAGTAAGATTTGATGACATGTGGCAAAAATGCATACAAATGCTCACCCTCAAAAAGGAATTAGGTAGATACAATGCCTCACCCCAAAAGGAATTAGGTAGTTTTGCATCTGAAAGCACACATCTAACTCTCTCCATCAAAGTTCTGTTCATCCTTTCTGCCAAGCCATTCAATTGTGGAGTCTTGGGAGGTGTCTTCTGATGTCTGATACCATGCTCTCGACAATAAGAATCAAATGACCCACAATATTCACCTCCATTATCAGTATGAACACATTTCAACTTTTTACCTGTTTCTCTCTCAGCATAAGTGTGAAATTCTCTAAATGCACCGAGTACTTGATCCTTTGACTTTAACACACGAACACAAAGCTTTCTTGAGTGATCATCAATAAAAGTCACAAAGTACTGTGCACCACCAAGTGACTTATCCTTCAAAGGACCACATACATTTGAGTGTACTAGCTCTAACAACTCTTCTTTTCTAGAAGGAGGATGATGTCTAAAGGAGATGCGTTTCTATTTTTCGGCCAAACAATGCTCACAAGTGTCTAACTCTCCACCTTGCAAACCAGAAAGCAAATTCTTCTTAGCTAGAATATTCAGACCCTTTTCACTGATGTGACTCAATCTCTGTTAAACTATCACTTTCAACTGCATTCACAAGATCTGTAGGGATAGTAGTCTGTAGCCAATACAAACCTGAACCTCTAAACCCTTTAGCCACAACCAAAGAGCCTTTATCCTTTTCCACAAACCAAAGAGCCTTTTATAAACAATTGCCGATGATTAAACAAATTTTTGGTTGCCATTATCCATACATTATATAAGCCGTCACTGGATTCAAATGTCTCAAACCTCACATTGTCGCTATGTTTAACATTCATTAAGTAATTCTTAAGTATCAACTTCATACCAAGGTTGGTCACCACAGTTACATTGCCAATGCCCACTACTTTGGATACAGATCCATTTCCCATCCGTAAAGTTTCAAAATCACCAGGAGTGTAAGATGTGAAGAATTCTTTCTTTGTAGCAACATGGTGTGCAGCTCCACTATCAAGTACCCAAAGAACCTATTGCTGGCAACATTAATCATACTTCCATCATGAACAACAGCCAAATCAACTGAAGTAGCAACACTGACACGATCACCATTTTCATCATTGCCATTCTTTTCTTGCTTGCCTTTATTGGTTTTGTTATCCTTTTTCCACTTGTAACAGTTCCACTTGTAAACTAGTACCGTTGGATGATTGCACAGATTATATGCCCAGATTTACCACAATAATGACATTCAAGGCTCTTATACCTTGACTTTGATTTACTCCTACTCTTGCTTCTACTGTTGTGATCATGACTTCTACTATTGCTTCTCCCCCTGTTTTCAGTAACCAAAATATCTGACTGTGATGTGGAAGCGCCGTGAGTTCTCCTTCTTACTTCTTCATTCAGAACACCACTCTTCACATACTGCATAGTTACAACACCATCAGGAGCAGAATTTGCCAAAGATACCCTAAAGTTTTCCCAAGAGTCAGGAAGTGTATTCAACAACCAAAGTCCCATAATGTCCTCATCAAACTTGACACCCATATTGGATAACTGATCAAAGATACCCTGAAATTATCCATTTACATGGTCAGTACTGAGCTCCCTTCTATTGTACTGCAGGGCGTTAGGCTTGCTTAATAAGAACAAACTTGTTCGTTACCAGGTTTTAGAAGCTACAAGATTGCTGCTTTCTTTCCCAACAAAGTTTTTGCTTTGTATCATTAACAAAATGATTATATACATTATCCTCCAACCCCATTGCCTAAGAAAACCCACATTACTTTCTTGATGCTCAAAACTCCCTTTCTTCATTCAGACTTAAGGACTCAGGCTTACTAGTCGCAAAATACAGGCCAAATGTAGTTTCTTTTTAAAAAACAAAAAGGTCTTTCATCTTCCCTTTCCAAGTGTGATGTTTTTGTGCCATCCAAACAAATTCATTTTACTCATATTCTCCGATAATTCAAACAAGCAAAAAAATGACTCCAATCACACAATACACTGCAGCTCTCGATTTACCACTGTGATGGGAAGTAACACAAAATCTGGAGACTCACAAAAAACTTCCCCACTTGAATGAATTGCTATTAGGAGTAACAATGAGCAAACAATTTCAAGCAACACAAGCTGTCCCAAAGTCAGTTTACACAATCAAAAATAACCAATTTCACCACATGAACACAAATCTTTTTACGTGGAAAAACTCCTCGGCCCGACTGTGAAGATAAAAACCACGGGACCTCTCCTCGCGGTCCAAGGAAATAAAGTTCCACTATCACAGAATATTGTCTTTACAAAACTTTACAGCAACTACAACCATCCAAATATGTGCTATACCACAAAACAAACCACAATAAAGTGTGGGACACCAATAGAGTGATCACAAAACACAGCTGCTGTTTTCACATTACATCTCTAAAAGATGTTCTTACTCATCCAAAAATTAAACTGACAGCCAGAATCAAGAGTTTGGATTGATAGAGGAACAAGCTTCACCAAATCAGCTCAATCCGACAAAAGGATGACTGTCGAAAAGGATGACTGCCGAAAACGCTGAAGAAGATGAAGCTATGCAGAGCTAGAAGCAGAACATGACAGCTTCGGATTCAGACCCAGAACTCAATCTCTGAACCTCCAAATGAAAATCCCTACGGTGAGAATCAAGAACAGAGAGCAAAGAACAATATATCCAAAAATCACAACGATCCAACGGTTGAAACTCCAGGAATCTCCAGAACACGGTGGCTGGTGCTGGATGGGGCTGTGTAGAAAAACCCTCTCCTCTCCTCTGTTTTTCTCACACGATTTCTGGTTGTGTGTCGATCAAATGAGAGCCAAAAAATATTAGGAATATGGCTGTTAGTTGAGGGATTGTAACAAGTTAATTAGTTAGTGACTTCCAAATAATGGGCTTTACACATAGGAAGGGGGACCCAAACCCAACAGAAGGCTGTTAGTTGAGGGGCATAATTGTAAAACAATAATTAGTTAGTGGACTTCAAAATATGGGCTTTTACCACATAGGAAGGGAACCCAAACCCAACAAAACCAAATATTCATTTTTAAATATTTAAATCATCTAGAGGTAGTCCTATCTTTTGACTTTAGGTATGATATAATTGCGACAGTCTTACCATTATCCAAACTAAAAATATAAAAAAAATGAATTTAAAAACTTTCACTAGCTACTTAGAATCATATGTATTCTACATTATTGTTTGTATTAATGTATTTTTCATATTTAATATAGTATTAGTCTTTTTTTTCTTCTTGTTAATTATATGAACGAGGAAATTTATTATGTTTGGAACCATCAAACCAAATGAAACTGCTACTAAAAATCAATTTGATTTGGTTTAAATTTCCTATCATGTGAAAATTATTGATTAAAAGAAATGTATTCTCTATCTTAATAGTTTGTCTAAGATTACAACAGCTGTATATATAGTGACAAGGAGAGATAAATAAATAAATAAATTTCTTAGGAATATTAAGATAAAATTATTTTTAAAAATGAAAAATATAAATTCAGTTTAGTGACACGTACTTAGAATTAAATTTATTTCATGTCTTTATAATACCGAGATAGGATAAAAAATGTAAAAACACCAAAAATAAAATTTGTGTAGTGTATGAAGAAAAGAAATCGAAGTTGAATTGATAGACCACGACATGGCCAAAGTCAAGGTAAACACAACAGTATGATCTTAATAGATCACGGCCATGATATGGCCCCACCAGAGTGGTTCAACTGTAGTGGACCTGTAGTACATAAATTCTCTCATATATTTTTATTAATTTACAAATGAGTGCCTCAAGTACGTATAAATTGAAAACACAGACACGTCCTGTTTCTTGACTAAATAATGAGAAAGGGGAGAGAGTTTCTTTCTCTCTTTTTCGTGGAATCTGTCTCTTAAGAAGAATCAAAAATCGCTCTTTTCTGGTACGCTTATTTTCACTTGCCTTTTGTTTTCATCTCGAATATTTGATGTGTCTTCTCTTTTTCTTGGTTCTTTTTAAAATTCTATCTCTTTATTTCGTTGTTTTTAACTTTTTTTTTTTTTTTTTGTATTTGAATAGTTTCTCGTTTTCTGTCTAGGGTTCGAATTTTGAGTCTTTAGTGCTGATCTTTCGTGGATTCTAACATTCTGTCTTGATTTTGTTTCTCATTTTATGCTATAACCTCAATTTGATAGAATTATTCTCTTAATTAACAGATTTTTGTATTTTCTTTTCAAGGTAAGGTTGGTTCTTGTACTTGATGATTGATCCTATTATCCTGGAATTGGTTGTTTAATCAGTTGTTTTATGTTCTTTTCTTTGAATTAACATCTGGGTTGTGATTGAATTGCTGAAATTTGTGTTCTTTAGCACTTAGCTTTTAGGGTTTAGATTAAGTTACTGATAGGCTTAATCAAAATTTTCTATTTGCAGCTTATAAGTGGTGAAACCACTGTTTCCCATCTGGCTAGGGTCGCAAATTGGGTAAAAAAACCCAGTTTTCCTCTGCTTCTCTAGCTTTTGCATGTTCCTCTTTGTTTTTGGCTAAAATGGACGATGGTGAGGTAGATTTTTCACAGCAAGAAGTGTTTTCTAACACGAACATTGGTGACATTCAGCCCAATTGCTCTATGGATAATTTCTTTGAGGAACTATTCAAGGATAGTCATGCCTGTACTCACACACATACTTGCAACCCTCCTGGTCCTGATTTTTCTCATACGCATACTTGCTTTCATGTGCACACCAAAATTGTTTCTGCACCTTCGGATGATAAGACTGCAACTGATGATACTGCGGAGTCTACTGAAAAGAAGTCAAAGAAACGCCCATTAGGCAATAGAGAGGCCGTCAGGAAGTATAGGGAGAAGAAGAAGGCAAGGGCTGCATCTTTGGAGGATGAAGTTGTGAAATTAAGGGCTTTGAATCAGCAGTTACTTAAGAGGCTGCAGGGACAAGCTGCATTGGAAGCTGAGGTTGCTAGGCTCAAGTGTTTGCTTGTGGACATAAGGGGCAGGATTGAAGGGGAGATTGGATCTTTTCCATATCAGAAATCCACTAATGATGTGAGCTTGGCCAATCCAAATTTGCCTGGTGCTTATGTGATGAATCCATGTAATATGCAATGTAATGGTCAGGTTTATTGCCTGCATCCATCAATGGATGGAAAGAGTGGGGAAAGCAGTGAAGGTATTGCCTTAAATGGGCAAGGATATAGTGGTTGTGAGTTTGATAATCTTCAATGCCTAGCAAGTCAAAACACAGGCGTGAAGGATCTCTCTGGTTGTGGACTTGGGACTGTGTTAACAAATGGCAATGGCAATTCTTCTGGCACAAATAAGAGGAAAGGTGAACATTAGAGTACTTATCTGTGTTTATCTGTATGGTGTTTTCTATTTATGTTACTATTTTTAGCCATTTGTCATGGTTGCTGTATAAAAATGCTAGTTGGGGGAAGATTGTTATTTTGTTTAAATAAGGCATTACCTGATCCTTTTCAATCACACATGTATAGCTCTTGTATTGATGGTTTATAGTAATTTTTAGAGTTTTGTTGCCCTTCTTTATAGCAAACTTTTGTTTTAAGATAAAAGAAACCAGTGTTAGCAACAGGTGGTAAATAATCTAAACGGGAAAACCTGATGCTTCAGTATAGCATTGACGCTGACAAGGTAGAGGCACTTTGTTGGCATATTGAAGATATAAGTCGCAAAAGAGATATCTGAGATCTCTCCGTAGAATCTTCCTATAGGGGAGTTTGTTATGCATATTTCTTCTCAATTCATCGCATTCTTAATTTGGAATGCTGTTAAGAATATCACATTAATTCGTTTCATATTTTACATTTTTTCCTGCTAACCATTTTTGCCTCTTAGTTTGTCTGATATATTCTCTTTCAAATTGTCCTTTATCTGCTTGACAATTTTCTCCATTAGGCATTCCCATAGTCCAACAAGACTTTGGCATAAATATTATTGTGTATGCAATATATTTTAATTGCTTTCTCATAGGATAATCAGCCTGAGAATATTTGTCCTTTATCTGCTTGACAATTTTCTCCATTAGGTATTCCCATATTCCAACAAGACTTTGGCATAAATATTATAGTGTATGCAATATATTTTAATTGCTTTCTCATAGGATAATCAGCCTGAGAATATGAGCCTGAGTCCTTGTAGAATCTCATGAGCGCTAGGCATTAAGTGTTCATGTTCTCAAGCATATTGAAATTGTGTTGATGTGCTTTCCCTTTCTGTTTAGAACCTGAACTTTTACATCTGTGGTCTGATAACCTATTAGCTATAGGGCAGTAATGTTATCTGATGAACATCTGTGCTATGATTAGATCTATGTAGCAAAAAAGGTTTGCACTAGACTTAGGAAATTGGTTATCCTTTATGTGAGATACATTATGATGCTTCTTCCATGAGAAAGACGAGAGTAACAGGAGGGTCCTTCTTTTAGAGAGAACAAAAGAAGAGAAGGAGAGAGAGAGAGAGAGAAGATAAGGGACTGGTGGGAAACAGGGTGAGATAGGAGTTATGATTCTTTGAACAGCATTAACTAGTATGTCCTTTTTGAGACAACCATCTTCCTTTTAGAATTTTGAGCAACTTGCTGCTATTGTTTCCTTGACTGATCTTTTATTTTTATCCGTTAGGTGGGGCTCGTGCAGCAACAGGAGGTTGAATAGCTGTTTGTGAGGGTATTCTTCTTTTTCATGAGGGTGCATATTGCCTTCTAGCCATGTTGAGCTGCTGAATCTACTTCCTCGTGTTGCTTTCTTAGGTTTGGTTAGTTTATTTTTTTCCTCCTCATTTCTTCTTTTTTTTTCTAAGTTTCTCGCTTGTCAGTACTATCCATGCTGAACTAAGCTTTAGCTAGCGGGTTCATTAGTTTGAGGTCCTTAGTCTGAAAAATGCTTTGTAAAGGAGACACTTGATGGATCTGTAGCTAGTGTAAGTGATGAGCAGAGACCAGCAATATGGTTTTCTGAGAAGTTAAACATGACAAAGTTTTACTTATTCCTTCCTTTTATCCTTTAAAGGTATTTGGTTAATAATTGCCATCGCTGGTTGCTCATGTTCTTTGTAGTTGGCTATTAGTTTTTTTTCTTTTTTCTTTTTCATGTGATTTTATTTTTTAATTTTATTTTGCCATTGTCCTTTTAATGTTTGAGTGGGTTCTTATGAAGATCTTCTTTCCTTCTAAGCAAAATGAATTCTTCATTGCTCAATTACAGAATTTAGGGAAGGGCCCCAGGTTTTATCTATGAACCGGACAGATAGTTGTTCGTAAGTGAGGCAATGTGAAATTTGTGCTGGGTCTGGGACCTCACCAACAACCATGTTTGAGCCAGAAACAGCAAGGCATGGAGGATATTGTTTATGGTGTATTTGTTTCTGCTCTGTGGTTATTTTTTTCTCAAAATTTTGTTCAGATGGCTAACTTGTTGATCTGTTCTAAATGTTAGACAGAAAAAAAATACTAACCTCAGCTGCATATCATTTTTGTATTGTCGTTTTGGCCAAATAGAAAAGAGGATAGGATATTGTTTAGTTAACAATTTTTCAAGTAGATTGAGCATATTTTTGTTATGACAAATTTATTTTTGAAAGTGATCCACAACCATGCTGAGAAATCGAGCCCTGTATTACGGTTGAATATCTTGGGGTACATTTTGCTCCATTGAAACCTTTGAAGCTGCAGATTGCAGATCATAGGGAAAGGGTCTTTCTGCTTGTTGGAGAACATGGGCTGTTCGTTACCTTCCTGGAGGTGAAAATATAAGTTCTCTTAGGCACACTGAAGTAGACGTCAATTTGCAGACTAGGCCTGAGTTTTTGTGCGTAATGACTCCGTTTTTGAGTTCATGCTCTTGTAGGAAATACTTAAAAGAAGGTCCTTGAGAGTTCTCTCTCTGTAGCACCTGTCAATACTTTTCAATGGCTCTTTTAATGATTCTTTTGTAGGATGAGGGAAATAATTTCCTTGTGCATGCTGCTGATATTTATAAGCAGATACGTCAATAAACCATAATTGTCAGAAGACGCTGATAAAGACTGAGGAGGATAGTATTTTCCTGTAGGTCCAACCAATTAGGAGTAGTAATGACTTTGAATTTCAGTTGTTGGGGTATCACATCATGTTTGGGACCAGCTGATTTAAGGCAAGGGCGGATTCTGTTGAGAAATCAAATTTCCTACGCTCAGAATTTTATTTACCCCAAATTGGAGATATTGATCCACTTGCCTCCTCTGTCTTTTATTTCAAATTGTACCGGAACATTTTACAGACTGTTTTGGTGGAGATTTTTTAGGTAAGAAAAGGTAATTTTAAGTTTTTAGATTGTTTGGGAACAAGGTTTGGAAGAAAGCAAGCCCTCTTTGGAGACCTTTAAAATTTCATATTTTGAGAAAACATAAAATAATATCATATTTGGCTAGTCCATATGGTTTCATTTTGGCAGCAAAAACCATTTCGTCACAAATCATTTTGGCAGCAAAATAATATCATATATATATATATATATATAATGAGTTTTGAAATATTGTTTAGCTGTTTCGAAATTTATATAACCGTAATGTGAAATTCATCGAAGTAAATTTTCACAACTGTTAACCAACATGTCAATAGAAAAGTTTTCCTAACAGCAATTCGAATGGGAATTTGAGAACACATCTTTAGTCACAAATTGCAATTCCAAAAAGCATGTCAAGAGGCCGATATAACACGTAAATGATTTTCTACTTACATTTTTACTAATATAGTTGTTTATGCATCACTCAGATAGATTGCATTAAGTACAAAATCTCATCACGTTTGTCACAAACATAATCATGATGGTGACCAATACAGCTACAAAGGAAACATTAGCTTTTAACTCATCTTAGAATTACAGAAGGTCATCACTCTTCAGCAGCCAGCATATCATAATCATCGTGATAAATGCCTTCGTCCATTTGCCATACCTGAAGGCTGTTGTCATCTGCTACACTTGAAATGACCCAGGGCTCATTCTTGTTCCATGAAAAATCTGAGATCTTAGCCTTGTGACCTCCATGGGAGAAAAGAAGCTCAGGGGGGCCGTCGTCTGCATCTAACTCTAATTGCTCATCTCCAATCCTGAAGTCATCATAATATCAGTCAAATTAAATGAAACTTCGCTCCTAGGAGTCAAGTCATCATGTGAGAACTTGTTTCAAAAGTTTCACGTTATTTGAAATATCAAAAGAACCAAATTAACAAAAATAGAGTTTAAGCACATCACATCCTCATCAAGAACATAATGCCGTGCACAAAATTTGTAATTTATGTTTGTTTAAATACATAATAGATATTTGTGACATATATGATGGTCCAAAGCTATATATCACTAGTATAATTTGCTTGCTGAACTATAATATATTCATGGGCATTATCAACAGCTAGTTCCAACAAGATACTACAGTAAACTCAGTAGTTGTTTGGAGGATAGAACCTTCTCTCTCTCCTCTATGGACAAAGGGAAGAGAAAAACTTTGGTGTTACAGCAAGTTGCTTTAAGCAGTCAGATTCAGAACTCAAACTTGCTCAAACCCCAGCCTTTGCAACCAAAGCAGTTGCCCATTTGATTAAAGGACTGGAATTGCTATAAATAGTAGCTTAATTGGCAAACAATTCTAAAATATCTACTATTTTCCTTTATTGGTAATCAGTGGGAAATAAATAAAAGACAAAGCAATTCGATATGGTAAGAACAAAGAAACAGCAGAAATACTTTATGGACATATTTATCAATGTCTAAAGTCTAAACTGAAATACCTGTTCAGATCCCAAACATTCAACCTTCTGTCATCAGCTGTAGATGCTAGCACTGTTTCATGATTAGGATCCCACTCCACTTGAAAGACCTCTTCGCTGTAAAAGTAATTAAAAAAAAAAAAATCCACAATGAAGATGTGGTTTACTCATTAGCATGTGCATTACACATCAACATTTTGTTCTTCTTTTGGTTTGTTGATAAAAACACAAGTAACTTCAATATATTTCAAAAATAAAATGATCTAGTGCCAAATTGGGACGATAAATGCAAGCATCAACTGTTCCATAGTGGTTATTTAGCAGATAGTCGCATTATGGGCCATCTGAAGATAATTACTTGGGAATCTTAAGTGGAAATAATGTTATTCTGTTCCACCTCATTATGGACTGTTACTCTTGCCACTGTTATTATTTAGCTGCGAAACCTGATACTGTGATTATCACAACCATGATCCCAACTGCGCTTATAATTTTAAACCCTAGATGCAAGCTGTATATGTAATGACGAAGACCAAATCACAAAATTTCAGTACACGTGAGAAACAATAGTTATAATACTTGTCTTATTGTCTTAACTAGTAACGTAAGTAATAAAAGGCTTCATTTTATGGCATAAAAAAACTTGTGAAATAGACATCTTGCATTGCAAGCAAGCAAAATCCATCATGAGAGCAGGAGAAAATAAAATAGGAGATTCAAAAATCAGTGACATGCTTGAATAATCTACTTCTAATTCCATGTTGTAGAGTAGTCATCATGCTTTTCTAACATAGACAGGCAGAAGCTCATCAAAAAGAAAGTAATTGTGCATAAAGCCACTAGTGAAAGCAGTTTTAGTCGAGGATCTGAAAAAGGCAAATCCCCTATCGGAATGCAGAATAGCAGACACAAAACATGGTAGTAAAACCTAATATCCATATGAGAGGCAAATAACATACGTGTGACCACTTAAAACATGCAGCGGCACAGTCAGCTTCCTCATATCAAACAGACCGACAGTAGCATCTGAAGATGCCGTAGCAAGAATCCATTCATTAAAGGCATTGAATGAAAGATAATTAACCTGAGACCAAGAAAGCAAAATGTTATCAGAAAAGCAAGATTTGAAGGTTACAGAGAATATGCAATGAATACAGATATAGTTTGCATAGCATCACCATATGCAGTACTGCAGTTAAAGAAACACTTCTTAACAAAACTATTTAGAATGCAAATCTGGGCATTTGGCAAACAGCTCCAGATAATTGAGCATAAGGCATGCATATGTAAAAGCAGAAACATAAATTATGTCTAATTGTACACACACTTTACTTGATTATTCCTACCCTCTTCAAACAATGAGTTAGTACTAACCTGACATTGTTAGCCAATGCTTCTGACATTCTTACTTAGACAACATCTAAACATGCAGATATCTTGTAATATGTCTTGCTTATTTAATAAAATATAAAATAAATATCCCTGAAAAAAATGATAAGGAATTGTGGAGTTAATTAATGCACAAGGCAGTAAACATTCTTCAATTAGATGATTGATAAATTGAATAGTTAGTTGAGGTAGACTGCTGACTATGTAAAGCAAATGCAATGTGACGTCCCAGATCAGCAGTAACAATCAATACTTTTTGAAACAAAAAATATTAGGCAGAAATTAATTGACAAGTTAAACTACTTCAAGATTGACCAACCTCTTTTTCATGAGCTTTAACAGAATGTTGGGGTCGATTGGTGCGCAAGTCCCATATCATTAACCGACAATCATCACTGACGGAACCAAATAAATTCTCATTCTTCAAGTGCCATGACACGTCTTCAACCACATTTTCATGAACCTAAAGAAAAATTCCCAACAACAACCAATCAAACATCTAATGTACTGCAATTAAAAAGTTTAACATAATGTACCAAGAAAGAAAGTGTAAAGTCGTATGATCACCTCATATACATGCATTGCCTCAAGTACTTTATCTTGTGCAATGGCAGACAAATCCCACAAGCATATTCTATTATCATGTGAACCACTCACAAGAAATCCCTGCTTAAAGGGACTCCAGCATAGCCCATACCCTTCTTTATCATGACCCCTCAACCTTAAATCCGGATCACAACCATCCTGTTGTTGTTTCTCAGCCTGTTTGGTAGAATCAAACACATAAACCTCACAACCACTTGTCTTCGCAGCAACAATAGCTGAATTCTGAGGCATACATCGTGCCCGATTCACCTCTCCGTCAACAAGTATCTTCTGAGTTATTTCCACCTACCAGTATGCAAAAACACTTTCAGCTAGAAATTTCTCTGAAAGATAAGAATTTATAGAATACTTCTTGAAAATGGTACTTAAGTAAAAAATAGGGAGACAGTAACTTAATAAATTGAACATCATCATAATCATTTAAAGAATAAGTAATACCAACAATTAGGAATTAATAATATCAGCATAATCATTGGCAAACACATTTTATTTAATAATCACATGTAAAAAAAAAAAAATCTTTTGAAGGTACAAGCCCCATATAGCACATTACAAACTATTAATCCAGATCAAGAATAACAACCTCACTCCTTAAAGTTTTTAAAGAACTTGCAACAACAACTAAGCCTTAATCCCAAGCTAGTTGGGGTCAGCTACATCTATCTTTTTCTTATATTTTGTTTGGTTTGCATCAGTTCTTTTGGAAGACCAAGCATATCTAGACCTTTCTTAATCAAAATTCACATATAACTTAACAATCATATAATATTTATCATGAATGTGAGGTCAGAGCCTAAAACTAAAATTAACTTCTTGTTGCAAATATCCACTTGTAGTATAAGATTGATATAGTTTTTCTACTATGTGTACATTTCCATAGCACATTTGTCAAGTATAGCGACAAAAGCATTTAAGACGAATTGGGACAGTAGCCCTAACAGTCCAATGCTTGCCTTATAGTTCAAGAGGTTAGAGGTTCAAATCCCTGAAGCCCCCTTTAACCTTTGAAGATTTCCTCTTTGCAAGAGCATTCAAGCCAGAAGTCCCTTGTGAAATAACTATAAAAGGAACCATTTTTTGCTAGTAATTTTTTCATTAAAAGTTGACATGAACAAACTATTATTGGATAATAAGTATAAGAAATTACATCGTATTTAGTAATTCACCAGAAAAATATTTCTGCTTGTAATTTCAACAAATACTAAATCCCCAAAACACAATTCGAAAACAACACCAGAAAATCACCAAATACTCTGTTTAGGAATATAATTTCCACATTATTGGCCATCACCTTGAACTTAACAAAACAATTAATCAGCCGCAGAATATTCGTTTTCAGCTAGTACTATTATCAAATACCTAATAGCCACAAAACAAAATACAAAAATTTAAAACACAGATCCAAGCCAAATAATATATCACCTTTGGAATCACAGAATTTTCAGGTCTGCCATCGAACTTAGCCTCAGCATTACGGGCGGGCAAAACGGCGTCGGCAATCATGAGAAAATTGGGGAAATCATCGGATGTATGGGTTCCAAGAACAAGCCGATGAACGGCGAAAGATGGATCGGTCGGGTGAGGCACCGGAGCCGATAGTGGGACCCATTGGACGGTGAGAGACGGCCACTCAAGAGGATGAGAAATCACGAGGTCATAGAGAAACGGCGTGTTCTTTTTCCATACTGAGAATTCTTCTTCTACCTGTTCTGGTGTTTGCTCTTGTTCTTCTTCTGCTGCCATTCTATGTTATTGGAAAATAATAAAGAGGGAAATTAGAAAGAAGTGAGGCTTTGTGATTTATGTTGATTACTCTGTTGCGTAGAGGAGTTTCCAGTTCCCGGTTTTAGCGTTTGGCGGGGTTCGCTTTCCCGCCAAAATGGTGATGACTAAAGAAAGTGGGCCGGAGAAGCAAATCGCTTAGGTTAGGGCTCACTTCAGCGGCTGCAGACTTAGAGGCCGTTAGATTTAGCTATTTGTATATACTCCCACCGTTTCACTGATTGATAACATTTCAAATTAAACAGAAAATATTAAATCACGATGAAAAAATTTATAATTGATTAAATTACCTTTTTATTAATTTTAAAATTTTAAAATATTTTATTATTCAAAAATAGGAAAAACTTTACATTAAAGATCCTTACTGATCTAGATCAATAGCCTCACCCAATTTAGCATCTCAATATTAAGTGAACAAATTTATGTTAGAACCATAAAAATAAAAAAAAAATAAAAAAAACAGTATTACCTCTGTTTTATAATACTTGTCATATTTAAAATTTCATATTCTTTAAAAAAATCATTAAATTTGTCTAAATTACAATAAATTATTGAGAAAATTGACTATAATACCCTTAATTTAAAACTATTTTTTTATGAAAATCATTAAATTGAAATAATAATTATTGATCATATATAAAGGGTAAAGATGAAAAAAAGACATTAATTTTTCCTGAAATCATAAATATGACAATTATTTTGGAACAAACCATTTTTTCAAATGTAACAAGTATTATAGAACAAAAGTAGTACATAATAAATAAATGAGAATGACTTGTCTAGACTAAATTTATGACTCTACCTATAAACGAAACCAATGAAAAAATTGCTTTTTATCTATGAAATGGAGTACCTATCATCATATTTGGAGAAAAATGGGTAAAGTAGGAAAAACTTTTTAAAAATCTTTATTTTCATTAATGTAATCCATTCATAAATCCGATCCAGAGTCTTTAGAAAACTTTTATCCTAAAGAAAATTAAGAAGATCTTTCAAATAGAGGAATTGATTTGCCTAGATTCGGTCTATAGGTTTATTCATGGACAAAATTAATGAAAAATAATATTTTATCAAAGTAAATGTATTCTTATCATATATTAGGAAAAAAATATAGAATAAAAATGGAAATAATATTTTAAAAAATTATATTTTTATTGATTTGGTTAATAGATAGCACATACACCAGTTCAAGGTAAATCTAGCCCTCAAATATAAAGATAAGCAAACGAAATAGCACTTGCCAAAGAATGGCTATCATGTTTGCTTGTCGATAAATCCACATTTGTCGATAAAATTATAAAGCAAAATTTTAGAGTTTAGGGGGAGGGGGGTTGGCTTCCCCTAGTCCCCCTCCCTCCGTCTGGTTTCGATCAATTCCGAACTTCTGTAAGAACTAGAACTTATGCACTTTAGGAGACCTAGGTAAATATCAAAGAACCAACTTTAAGTACATATCAAAGAATTGCCAAGCTCTTTCTTAAAAATCACACCATATCAAGGTTTGGTCATTACATTTCACTCGGCCTTATAAAGGTTTGGTCAAATGAACAAGATTGCTAGATGGGACAACTGCATTTTAGTTGAATATATTGAGCATCCTCTATTTCTTTCAACAAATGCAAAAAAGAATTATTAACATTTAAATTGAGTAAAGACCAATAAGGTCTCCACTACATCTTCTGTATCACCACATACAGGATAATTTCCATTAATATCTACACTTTTTTTTTTTTTTTTTTTCCCTCCAAATAAAATTATTGATTTTAGGTGGGATCTAACACTTTCATAAAGAAGAATAATCACCATCAAAATGATAACTATGGACTAGATTAAGAAGTTTTTGTCACAGTGTAATATAATTTTTTATAGTGTTCGGTAACATAGCGTTTGACCTATCTTTTAGAAATTAAGGTAACGTTTTATAAAAAGTTAACCGATGTAACGTTTAGCTTTTAGCGTTTTAAGTTAACAATTAAACGCTATTAAAACAGCTATAACAACCAAAACAGTTAATTTTACCGAATAGACCATAGGCAATTGAGCATTATTTAAGCACATAATGTTTGAAGCAAAAGAGTTGATGTACTAAGTGGAAAACGTGGTTAACTATCGACTAACAAGGAAATTATAAAAAGAGCAAGATGAGCTTGATCAATCCCCGACAAGTTCTCTGATAAATGAAACCAAACAAATCAAGTATGTGACAAGTCAATTAAGCAATCAATCAATTTATTTTCTAAAATCCTTGTCTTTACTTTTTCGAAAAGCCCCAGCAATTTACATTTCTTGTAATCACAGTTGTACATTTCAACATAAGCAACCAACTTTTTTTACATTTCATGAAATCAAGCTCCTTTTTCTACATATGCTTGCTTAAATTTATGTTTTATCATATATTCATAGATCCAAACCTAATATAAAAAGTCAGATTAATACGCATTTACTTTTACCGTTCTTATATTACACACACTTGATACACCCATAAATTCCGCATTCAAGTTGTTAGCCAGCTAAAATAAAAAAAAAAAAAAAAAAAAAAAAAGACCAACAATCTTCGGAAACCCGAAGAAATTAAAGTATTTGAAGAAATTAGAAGTTTTCTACTTAATGGAAGGATATGTAAGTGTTTGAAGAAAATTAGAAGACTTGTGCTCAAAGGAAGCAATTCAATGTTGAAGAGTTTAAAATCTTAAGTTAGAATGTCCTCAAAAGAAAGGTATCTGTACTTATGCAAAAACTTTTTTTATGTCTACAACAAAGTTTCAAAATTGTTTTAAGATTCTAGCAGCAAAATTAGATGATATGATAAGTTGAGTTATTGTGTAATTTTGTATAGATTTGGTGCAACTCATAGGTCGGAGGTTATTGACTTAAAATACTCAATCTATATCAATGGGTCAATGTTTTTTTAACCTAACCTAACACAATAACTAAATGGTGAACGCTCAAGGTATAAATGGGTTGAGTACGGGTTAGATATGAACCTACGGATAAAAAAAAATTGTAAATAATATAAACTCGGCAAACTTTTCATCTAACCTGAGGTTGTAGGAAAAAAAAGTTCTTGATATCTCTACCATAGAATAGGAATCTAAAATGACAATACTTTTTTAAGGCAAGGACCTTAAAAGTGAACTTTTTTTTCTTGGCAATAATGAGCCGAAGTAGTATCTGCGGTGAATCCATATATAATACCTACCACTAGTTAAAAGGTTGCTCCAAAAAAAACAAGAGGAAGAAAATTTAGAAGAAGACATAAGCCTATGACATCTAAATATGATCATTTGAAGAAGGAACAATCAGATGCGATTTGTTCTAAATATAATGAATAAGGTAATATTATTTACTATTAATGAATATTGAGATGAATAGTTTGATACTCTTTTCTCTTAAATGAAATCAAGGGTTTGATCGTCATATATGAAGTAAATACTTACTGAAGTACTTTACTCAGTTGGTAGACTCGGTAAAGTCATATTATTTATATGTCCAAAATTGAAAAAGAAACATAAGGGCTACATGAAGCAATGGTGAAACTTCGTCATCTAACGGTGAGAAGGTATTTTTACCTGTAATAAGAGTTCAAGGTAAATTCTGAATCTGTAATGAGAGCTAACTTTTAAAGATCAAACCTTATCTATTGTTCCACAATCAGCTGAGCCAAGTGGTCAGTCTAAACCCGCTACAAGACATTATTGAACTACTATACTGAATCCTGAATGCCCCACACTACACTTCGAGCATGCTTTAGCATTAAACGACATAGTGAAAGTAGCTATTTATATATGGACCACCTAAAATACAAGAACCAAATCTTGCCACTTTTTCAATTCGAGATATTCAATTGCTCAATGAAGCCATCTATCATCAATCAAATGTGAAAAGAAAAAGACTCTTTAGCATTTCCTGTCATCATTTTCTAACTATTATTCTTTTGTCTCCTTGTCTTTTTTTCTTCTAAGTGTGCATTTGATCATTGCATTGCCAAATAATTCCATAATCACTATCGTTTAAATAATTTGAAACTTGAAGCTTACTTTATTTTGGATATGGAATTATTTTTGTTTTAAATTAATAATGTTATATCTGCTAATCAAAATTGATCTAATAGCTTTCTTATACTTTTATAAAAATGTAAAAAGTAAAAAATTTCAAGCCCGAATCCCTTAATTACAATAATTTTTATCAATTTACTGAGTTAGGATTGATTTTGTTAGCGTAGCTCACATTCTTATTTCTACATGCGGAAACCTGTTGATCAATTTTTCATGATAGTCTTATGAAAAAACAAACAAAGAAAGATTTTTTTTTTATAATTACATATTAATTAATTTAAAGGTCCAAAAATAACATCACTAATAAGTAGTAATAACCCTTAGAGGTCCTTTAATACCAGTATACAAAAAAAAAAAAAAATTCAAATTTAATGTTTTGTCTATACAATTAACAACTATTAAACCAAACTTAATAATTTGATTCCTTTTTCCCCTTTACCAAAGAGAGTTAATGATTATACAGAAAGCTTATAAAACAAACTAAAATAATTGCACAATACCCCCACATAAAAGCAAAAATTACCAAACTTACAAACCCCTAATTAAAAACCAAAAATAATAACACCCAATAATACAATCTAAAATTAATTACATAATAGCACATGCTTGTGGGTTCTCATCACTAAAAGCAGTAGTGTACCGAACTTCAGTGGAGCTAGCACGTGCGAGATTCGACACTTGTGGGTCCTCTGCCCTTCGCACGTACCCAGATGGTGCCTTCTTGTCATACACACCAGGGGCATATGGGTGGGCCACTACATCATACGGCACGTATGGCCATAGCTCTGCCTTTTTACCCGTCCGATGAGCCACGCGTGCCACTACCTTGGAGGGGTCCACATATCCAACGACTGTGACTTTATTTGCTTTACGCTCCACATCCACTTGTTTTACACCTTTCATTCCTTCCAATGCTCTTTTAACCTTACGCTCGCATCCTTCGCAGTCTATTCGAACCTTGATCTCCACCGTCTAATCATTTGAAAAATGTCAAAACACATACAATCAGAATCCAGTGAATGCAAATGCATGAGAAGACAATAATGGCCAGACCAAAATTCATTATATTGACACTTTATGGACATTCTAGTGGATCAAAATGTCCTTTAGTAGTGCTATAAGCACAGAATCTATATGCTCATCATAACCACTTTTGACTACTTCTTTTCTTTAATTTCTTGTATTTGTTCAATTAAGTTGTCGATCTTTAATCATAAGCAGCTTTCTTGGATTATCCTTTTTATATTTGCTTTTTTTTGAATTCTAATTCAGTTCTAACAATATTTTTAAATTTCTCAAATTTCACATATTAATTGTTATTTTTGATTTGCATATAAAATAACTATTTCACATGATAAAATATTTATTATTTACTTATTAGAAAAAAATAATTTTTGCACATTTAAATTTAAAATTAAAATAATCAACTGCTTATTTCTCTAAGTTTCATAGTATTACATGAAGCAGTCAAGTTAATGATATCCATACAAATGCATCAAAATAAAATTTAAATATAAGTTTTGGTTAGCAAAGATTTTACACATAAAAATTCATTAATTTTAATCCCATAAAAAAAAAAAAGGAAAAAAGAAACTACTACTTCCAAAACTACATCCAAAAACTTTAAAAACTTAATTTGATAATAGTAACAAACTGCAAATAGGTTAGATCTGAGATGAACTTGAATATTTAAAAAGCATTTTTGAGAAAAAAAAAAAAGAGAGAGAGATAACATAAATTTCTTTCTTTCTTTTTGGTAAGAACGAACAAAGCCAAGAGCAGAAAATTAATCTGAGCTCCAAAAAGAGGAATATATATTTTATAAAAGAAGAGGAAAATGAAAGAAGCTAATCAAAAGCACATATATACCTGCAATTGCTTGCGTTTCTTGAGCTTGGATCTGCCATGAGAGCAGTCGAAGATATGAGAGAAATGATCGAGAGCACCCATTGATTACCTCTACTTCAATACAAGCTTTGATTTTGATTTTGATGTAAATGACTACAATACAAATCAAAGGCACAAGAACCAAGAGTTGTGTATAAAAAGCAGATAAGAAGAAGAGCTTTCCGCTTTTAGGTTTTGAGTTTAGAACTTAAGAAGTGAAAAATATACCGCCAGCTACGAAGTGTGTGACAGGCATGAGTCTCCAAGACAAATCCGCCCCTTATATAATAAGGAAGGAGCTCCAGCTAAGGACTTTTTGGTCTTCTGCTTTCGAATCTGGGTCGTCCGATTCATAAGTTATTGTCTCCAGATCTAGGTTGACGCCACGTGTTCCTGTTAGATTTGGCATTTTTATAATCGAGTTTAGAGAATCCATAATTGACGAGGCTATCCATGCACCGACTGGTCGGTCCCGCAGGGAAATATTTTGGCGCGAGATGGGAGGTGAGACCCACTCTTTACGACCCTGATATTCAGTTATGGAGTTATGATATTTTTGATTTTTTCTGGCGCCGGTGGGACCTGTGCTCTATGTTGGGGTCCACACTTTGGATGGAAGCAGTTCTGTGAGTAAGTACGCGTATGGCTTGGTTGGTTTGTGGACCCTTTCTTTCGGAATTTGACTAAAGGCGATCGAGTGTCCGCCATCTCTTATCATCCTGTGCTAGAACTTAGAGCTCGTTTGGATTAATTTGTCAATTCTATTAATTCTCATTAATAATAAAACTTAAACTAATTTATTTAGAAAATAAATAAAATTAAACTAAACTTTATTATTTTAACTTTGTAACGTCTTTAACTTTTATTTTAATTTTTTAAACACTTTAACGAAAAAAATTATATATATTAAATACTATAATTTGCAAAAATCATTTTATTGAATACTTAAGTTATAAAATTAGATTCATTAATTATCTATTAGATATTTTGAAAAAAAATTTAAAATTATTATTTCAAAAAGTTATGCTAACTACACTTTAAATTAATATTTTTACATGTAAAATTCAAAAACCCGAAAATTTATTGTTATTTTATTAGTAAGAAAATGTATGTATTATTATTAATATTTAAAAATTCAAGTGTAAAATAAATCATTCATAAAATTTAGGACGCGACAAAATTAAAATTATAAAATTTACAGGTGAATTTACGTGTTTGACCAATTTATTTTCAAAAAACCCTTTACATCTATGGAATTCATAAAACATAAAATTTATATTTTGCAACGTTTTCCAGGGTAGAGGAGCATAACCAAAAAACTTTGTCTGGAAGGAGAAGAATAGAACAGCAAAGTTACAAAAATGTTACATTATATAGTATATAATATAAAGTTTAAATATCACAAATAAAAAGTATTAAACATAGTTCAAAAAAATATATGTAGTTGATTTTCGAAATATCATTTCATTTTCTACATTGAATCAAAATCATTTATTATTTTTCTCTCAAAATAAAACATTTATTAATTTGTTTTTGTAAATTTTTTGATAAGTTTTTATTATAAATTTCAATTTTGTTAATTGTGTTTCTTTCAAAAATTAATAATCAATTATATTTCTTAGCAAAGTAAAATTTAATTAGTTTAAATTTTTATCGATATTTTACTCTTATATATTTGAATAAAGTAATTTAATTAATATTTAATTAGTTTAAATTTGAGGGTATTAATGAAAATTTTGAAAGGATTGATATTTAAGGGATCAATAACAGTAATAAAAAATGGTGCCACTCGTATGCATATAGAAATTTTCTAACAGGCTTATACATGTATTGGTCGAAAACCGCGTTTTTTACGTGGATATTTAAATATTATTTTATAAATTATTTGGAATTGATTTTAAAAAATAGCATAGCATCAGAATAGAATTTTATTGAGAAAATTATTAAATATGAGAGCTACCTAATTTGTTAATCATGCACACATTAATTATTTTTTATTAGTGTTAAATAAATATTGAAAAATTTTTCTATGTTTTTTTATCTTTGTATCATTTCATTATTTTTAAAAATGTAAATCAATAAATTTAACTTTATGAATAAATAGTTAATAATTTTTTATTCACATAATAAACGATGAATGCTCTTACTATAAGGATCTGACCATCTTGAAGTCCAGTTTTAATAATATAAGTAGTATATATCAAAAGATATTTTATATATTAATTTTATATATCAAAATCATTTTAATTTTGAAGTCTTTTCACATATGATTTTTATATATTAATCTTAGTTAATTATAAGAAGTTTACCATATTACATAAGAATTCACCATTCAAAATATATATCAGTTGATTTCTAGTAATGTAGGCAGTTTTCGTACCGTTGAGATACATTAAAAAAAATTACAATGATAAGATGTGTTTTCTTAAGTATTATAGGCAAAAGCCATGCATGATATGACCTAGAGGTGTCAAAATAGATTGGCGTGTCAAGTTCGACAACCTAACACGTGACACGATTAGCGTCAACATTATCATGATCAATTTAATAATTGTATTAAATTTATCGATATGAACACAACACGAAAATTAGACAGGTGATACAAACACGATATGTTTAACCCGCCTAATATCATAAATAGGTTATATAAGTGGGTTGTGTTGATCATATACAATCCGTGTAATCACTTAATATCATAAACAGGTTAAAAGGGTCGTGTTGACCTGTATACGACTTACTCAACATGCTTATAATATTTTTAAAATTTAACCTATTTTTTACTCATATATTTAAAACTCCAATCATATTTAAAAATAAATTTTTAACATAACATGCGTAAATTCTTTAAGATTCATAAGTAAAATAAAAAGTAATACAACAATAAAATTTAAATAGGTTTTAATTGGAATATTTATATATAACACTAAAATTACTTCTTTACTCTTAAATAACACTCGTCTAACCCACGTGTCAATCCGTGACACGACACGTTTATATTCATATTATAAATGGGTAACTCATTTATGAAATGAACCCGTTTAACCTCAACCTTAACCCATTTATTTCGCGTGTTATACGAATCGTGTTCGCGTGTCATAACCCATTTTGACACCACTAATATGACCTGTATAAAAAAATATACACACACTATTAATGCATTCATTTTGACATCCTAGTATGACTTGTATGAAAAATGCACACACGCTATTAATATATTTTGAGAATTTAACTAACTATATTGAAATAATAAATTAAGTATTTTTTTTAATTTTATGCTTATGATTTATTATAAATAATTATTTATTTAATTGAATAGTAATGTTTATACTTATTTAGTGTAGTGTGTCCTAAGCATGTGGATGTCCTATTTTTTTAGAAATTGTGCATAGCGTACGTTCTCGTATCTTATATCTCGTGTCCCGTGTTTGTGCAACTTAGTTCTTGGCATATGAATTCCATTCACCAAGCTAATCAACCAATATTTTTTTTATTACCAAGAAAAAATGGAGTGTTTTTTTGCAAATTTATTTTTCTATCTTGTTTTATTAATGAGTGATCAGAAAAAATAAGAAGGAACTAAGTTTTTTTTAAAAAAAACTTATGTTATATAAAAGGAAAATAAAATTAATTTTTCTCTATAAATTAATTTTTATAATTTTTTATTTTTCTTTTAATTTAAAGAGAAAATTATCAAAATTAATTTCCCTTATATTCCTTTCTTATTTCCAAATAAAATAATTTTTGTTTATTAATATTAGTTTTCTTTTCTTTTCTTTTGTCCTCCTATATGATATAAAATAACTTATCTTCTTACGATTGTTGTTATTACAATTTATCCTTCTTACAATTACTCTAAATAATTGCTCTTCTTATATTTGATTATTTGAAAGATTAAATGATAGACTTCTCTATTTTTATATATTATTATCTTTAGATATATTAAGAAATTAATCATTAGAAAAAAAATGATAAGATAAGTTTAATTTTAATTATTATTAATTAAGAAATTAATTAAAAAGTGGTATACTAAATTAATTACTGCAATTAACTAAGTTTAATTTTAATGTAATATTCAAGATAAGATAGCAACAATAATGACTTTATTTTTCTAAACCAAAAATGATTTTAATAGAAATATTAAAATGTTAAACAAGCAACATTAAAAATTATCATCCTTTTTAAATAAGATAAGAATTCAAAATAAATTAAAAATTATTTTATCTGTTTCATTTTATTTGCTTGTGATTTTTTTTTATATCCTAAAATATTTTTAAAATTTTTAAAATTATATATTTAAATAATTATTTTTCTTATAATAATTTTTATAATTGTGCATTAAATAAATTATTTTTATTAATATTTTAATATATTAAGGATAAAAAAATAAAAAAGATTTTTATTAATCAATTTTTTAATATGCGTCTGTCAAATCAAAACAATAAAATAGACGGGTGATAACGTCAAATTATAGGACAGAGTGATGTCATTAAATTAAAATTAATTGGTTGCGGTGCATTGACTTTGATGCAGTTTACACATGTATATAGAGGCTGCGAAGCCACCTGTACACATAGATGCTGTACTCAGGTCATGTGTTTCATGCACAAGTGCCATCTGGACCACGACAATTTACATCTTAATTTTTTATCAGTCTCTCATTAATTATCGCCATCTACCATCGATTCCAAAAATTCCTTAATTTTTGACATTTACCTACTCTAATTTTAATTATAGTGCTTGTTTCAAATGGTGCAGATCTAATTCTACAAAATATTTCGGATTTTTGGTTGATTATTAAAGAATGGAAAACAAAAATCTGAATTTTGACTTTTTTTATTGATTCTAACCGGTTCTTTTAATTTTAATAATTAATACCGCGTACATAATTTTCTATATTAATTCTAGCGTTCGTTTATTTTTCGTCAATTTCATGCTAACGTGACAATTATCTACATCATAAGCGGGTAAATTTTTATAGTCTTATGAGTTAAAATTTTTATGTTAATGTATTATTAATATTTTTATAGTCTTATGAGTTAAAATTTTTAATGTTTTTTAAATAATTTTTCAATATTGTAACCAAATAACAGAAAATAAGTCATTTGAATTTAATCGTTTTTTCTAAATAATTTTTCAAATATTGTGAAAACCCAAATAACAGAAAATAGTTCATTTCGAAAAATATTTTTCAACCCGATAAGCTTATTTTCCCAGAACAACGGAGCTCTCCATCTTTCTTTTTTTTCCATCCTACATTTCTTAATATTCTTCTCT